AATTGTAATTTTGTGTTTGTAATTCTGTACATTTTAATTAAATTATTGTTATTGGTTTATCATATGTGGTTATTGTTCGGGACGAACAATATTAAGGAGGGGGAAGTGTTGCGTCAGCGAGTCACATGACCACCGTGACGCAACGTTTCTAGAACTATCATGCACTTTGGCGAATGTTCAAGTTCTTAGTAGAAATAGGGTACGCTGGTATATAAAAGAGAGGTAGTGTGTGTAGATAGTTAGTGAGTAACTGAACTGCAGTCGGAAGTATTGTTGACGTTCGTTGATTAGCGTTTGTTTTAACGCGATTGTTGAGATTAAGTGTATCGCAGAGTTATATTCGGAAAGAATAAACTAGTTTTATTAAGTAAAGACTTGTGTCGTTAAAGTTTCGTCGGAACGAAGTTACGGAAAGTTAATTAACAAACGGAGACGTAACAATACTTTATAATTTTAAACCTGGTAAAACTTGTTTTATTGTTATAGCATTATGGATACATGTTTTTAGCTTCTAAATATGGTACAATTTGTTTAGCTGTGTTAGAACAATATTAATACATATTGTTGTTTTCTGAGGCTGGGGCAACTTCTTTTATAATGCTAAAACATTATGAAAACACGTGTAGATTCTAGGCGTGTTAAAACATTAGAAGTAGATATTGTTACGACAGCGGAAGTCACGTGACGCTGCTCGCGCATGCGAGACTGAGTTTCTCGAATTATCATGGAACTCCTCGAAATTTGTCGAAGCCTCTTTGTTAGTATATAAGCCTGGTGAGAAAAGCCAGCGGACGAGGATGATAATCAATGTATGATAAAGCGAACAGTAGTCACAGGTAATTTACGATTCTGTTTCGGGCTACTGTGTGTTTTGCATTCGTAGAGAGCGAAATTATCGAGATTGTGAATCGCTGTGATTTATAGCAGGATGTATCTGTAATGTTTTAACACATTAAAACAAAGTGTATTAAGATTAGAATCCAATAATATTTTTACGTATCTGCTTGTTTGTTAATTTCCGGGGAACCTCAGCGTTACAAGTCCCTTCTTTATTAAACCAATTTATTCTTTCTCGATACAAATTTTAGTGCACAGTAATTCCACAGTCAGTACGTTTCTCGTCACTTTAAACTTAACAACTTTTATAATATATTACAAGATTTAGTAATGAACAGTATGTATTCGTTGTTTTTTAATGCAGTAAAACAAATTTTATTAGGTTTAAAATTCAGCAACATGTACAAGTAGTGTTATTACACATTAAAACAAACCACTTTTAAAGTCCAACAATATGTATTTGTAATGGTGTACTATAGTAAATCACATTGTTTCAGGTTTAGAATTCAACAATATGCATTCATAATTTTTTCCAACAACATAAGTTGCTTAAGATTTAGAATCCAAACAGGTGTATTCATCATGTTTAACACAGTAAAACAAGTTGTTCCAGCCTTATTATCCAAAAAGATGTATTCAGAGTGTTTTAAGACAGTAAAACAAGTTGTACTAGGCTTAGAATACAACAATATGTATTCATAGTGTTTTAAGACAGTAAAACAAGTTGTACTAGGCTTAGAATACAAAAATATGTATTCATAGTGTTTTAAGACAGTATAACAAGTTGTACTAGGCTTAGAATACAACAATATGTATTTATAGTGTTTTCAAACAATGAAAGAAAGTGTACCAGGCGTAGGAGCCAACGAGATGTATTCATAGTGTATTAACAGAGAAAAGAAGTAGTACCAGGTGTAGGAGCCAACGAGATGTATTCATAGTGTATTAACAGAGAAAAGAAGTAGCACCACATTTAGAATGGAACAGTGTGTATTCATAATGTCACCACGGTTACTCCAGGTTTACAATCCAACTGTGCGTATTCATAGTTTTCAACACACTAAAACAAGTTGTACCAGTTTGAGAAGTCAACAATAAGTATTCATAATGTTCTGGACAGTACGACAAGTTAT